CATTTTTAACTTCAGAACACAGACATGTTTCTCCCAAGGGAACAATTAAATGTGTTTTCCTTCAAAATCTAAAGGGCATGGTGAGCAGGCTGTGTGTTCAGCAGGCTACTTTAATCAATGGAACCCATCCAGCCTGCCACTGCTGACCAAATTGCAATTTACATTGGTAGAGAAAACTTTTGAAATGGGAAGGTATGGGAATATAATACCATTTTTGGCATAACACAGTGTGCAGAGTGATATGTGGTTTAATGGTTTTCTAACAAGCTTTTGGAAAAAGCTTTGAAACATTAAAAAAAGACAATAAGACTGTACAATCACAGCAAGGTCTGCTTGAACATTGAAATCCATGCTATATGGGCAGGACTTCTGAAGTCCACATGACACTTATGTCTCATTTAAGCCTTATTATAAGGATTCAAGAGGGGCTAGATTTTTTTTTTTTTTTTTTTTTTTTTTTTTTTCTCCCCTTCTCCAGGCAGGCACATGAGCATTCCTCTGCAAACAGGAACATGTGTGTGATGGAGCTTGGATGCCTTTAGGCACGTGTGGACTTTCTGAGGTCAGCCACAGAATACGGTTTGTGTAACCTTCTCCAGCAGTCAAATACGAGAGCTGTCTTAGCTGTGTGTCTAACTGAATCGCTAGCTTTGGGCTGGCAAAAGGGGCTTATTTTGGCAGGCCTGCGTTGCATTGGCAATAGCAAGTGCCGCATATGATGAATAAGCAGAATGCATTTTTTCTAGATGGCAGAAGAGACAAAGGATATCAGAACATTTAGGAAGAAAACTAATTATGTTATGGACTGAGAAATTTAACATACCAGTAGTACCACTCTCCCTTTCAAGAGGAATAGATACAGTAAGAAAAACCAGTCTATTTCCCAGCCTGAATAAGCCCCGCAGATTGCTGAGGTTAACAGTTTCTTAGATATTTAATTTCATAGTTATTCTTTGCAAGTCTTACAGGGAGGTTTTAACATTATGCAAAAGAGGCAGTGCCTCCAACCAAGTATACATGGACTATTCACTCCCATTGCTTGAGAGAGCCACAAAGAACTAGAGGAAAAAAATGTTGCTGTGCTTATCATACATGAGCTCAGTTTATTTGTGCTATAAATAAAAGTAGATCTTGATAGCATAATTACATTTCTCAGCATTATCCTCTGCCATTCGCTTCAGAAAGAAAAAAAGAAAGGGGAGAAAAAGTTGGCTTCACTATAATTTGTAATCAAAATGACTACACTTAAAACATAATTTTATTTCTCTGATTTCATTTCCTGTGAAGCTTTGTGGGGCAAATAGATAATATTATACCAAATCTGCAGGCAGATAATTCTCACATCCCCTGCACTGGCATTTTCTAGATCACTTTCCTCCCCTCCCCGTGCTTTCCCCAAGACCATGGGCTGTGTTTGTGATATTGCATTTTATCATTGAGAGATACATCAGCATCAGAAATCCCAAGGGTGAATCAACTTTTACTTTCTCTACTTTCTCTCTCCTGCTCCCCCAAATTACTCTTCCTTGCCTAATTTGCTTTTAATAATGTTGGGAGGGGGAAGTGGTTTCCCACTATGAAGGATTAGCGCAGATTATGGTGAACAGTGTTAATTATAGGTGGGGAAAGAGAATAGCGCATCTCTCCAATCTGTTCTTGATTTCCCCCGTGTCTGGCTGGCTGGTAATAAGCCTCCTTTAATCTGGCAGTCCCCTTGGTGAAATCAGCACCACGGACAGCAATATTGATTGCTTCTGAGAAACCATCACAGCTGCTCAACCAAATTACCTTTGATATGTGACCTTTAATGTAATTACTGCAACATCAAAGCATTTCTATAAATTATTAAAGAACTAATATACTTCATCATCCAGCTACTCTATTATATGTAAAATAAACAATCACAACTAAACGCTAGAATTTGAATTGTCCGATGCTCGCAAAGTGCTCTTTACACATACATACACACCCTGCCATGTTAACCTTCTGTTTTAGGCAAGACAATGTCAAACTGTCCAAAACAGCCCGATTCATTTAGATTAAGAGGATTCAACTAATACTTTTATGTTTTACATTCCATTCTAGTTGCTTCAAAATATTTATCATGATTCCTTCCTGCCCCAAAACAAAAGACTTTATTAATCAACACATACCTGCTTGGAAGTCTTTTGATTATTCCACAAGATGACTTTATGTCCCACATATAACATAGAAATATGTGAAACATATTTCTGTCATCTTACAAAGCACATCCAGAAAGTAATTACTGTAAAATATGTGCATGTAGCCACTCCACTAAAAACAAAGTGATACATAGCTAAGAGGCAAGGTGTCTGAATCTGGACACAAACTCCTCATGCCTCACCATTTCCATACATTAGCATTCATGTGCATATTATTAAAAATGACTCAATTCTGTGTTTTATAATACAAAGAACACAAACAGCAATATTGCAAGAGCAAGCAAATACACAGTTTAATGGGGGATGGGAAAGAAGTGTCTTAATTCAACGGCTCACTGTAGTACTATTTTCTTTTTTCCTATACCAGGCTTGTTAATTATTTTTGATACCTCCTCAATAGTGTTGTTTGTGTCACAGACAGTAGAGGGTCAAGAGAAGGTGTTATATATGTGTCATTTGTGAACTCATGTGAGTGAGGACTTAGACCCCTGACCTTACGAGTGCTTTTTATTTTACGGTGATGAACTATGCTCGATATTGTTGGTGCATGTTATCAAGAACAGTCAGGTAAGTCATAAATTATTCTTTGCTACTCACATAGGAACCATAAAACAGTATCCAGGCATGATAGTTTATCAAGAGACAAGGCTGGTTTCCTTAAATAAACTACAGTGACATCATTCAGAAGATGAGTTCAGAAACTTGGCAGAAAGCTGTATGCAGAGGGTTTGCTGGTGGAAAGTAAACCTTTATCCTGAGACAAACAGAACTGGAAATGAAAGGGATGACAGAAGTTAGTGCTCAGAACTCTCAAAAACCTGGCTGCTATTTTAGACAGAGGATTCACCATTCCCAATTCAATCAGATCCTGATGTGTCACCTCAAAGTGTAAAACAAAACAAAAAAGCCTTCTGAAGTCAGCGTGGTCAGTATGGGCTATATGTGATAGAAATGACATAAACCAGGGAAGAAATGTTTTGCCTGTAGTCAGTATAACCTCTGAAGGAAGTCTTGACCCTAATGCAAAAGCTGGTTGAATTTTGTCACTGTCCAAGACAACAATTTTGACTTTAAGAGTTTTGTGATTTGAAATCTCTAAAATACAAACTGAGATTCAGAACTGAGGACATATAAAGAAGTAATTTAAAAAAAAAAGAAAAAAGAAAAAAGAAGAAATTCTAAATTGTCACTTGCCCTCCCTCCCCAGCTCTGAGCCCTCAGTCTCACTGAACCACTGTCTTGAAGATATTCCCCATCATACAACTTCAGGATGAGATTTTAACCTCTTAGAGAAGATATGAGCTCCATATGCAAGTGAGTGGGCTGGCTCCTAATAAGGAGAGCAAACAGTTTCAGTGAAAACAATTGGAATTGCAGTTATTATCTTTTAAATGCACAACACCCTATTCATCACAAGCATATGTCTAGTTTTGATAAATATATATTTGATTTTAAGCATATTTCAGAAAATTTCAGGTAAAATGTTACCTAAAACATCCCTATTCAAAATATTTTCATTTTTTGTACACCCAGTTCTATCATTCAGAGGAGAGAGAAGTAAAAAGAAAACATCACCTGTTGGGGGAAAAAAAAAAGGAAAAAAAAAGAAAAACCTAAACCCCAACAAGACTCAAGTTACTTTCAATCTGCGGCTAACGAGTTTCTAGGAAAAAAATAATTCAGAGGGAGTTGTCAGCTGACAAATGTATTTTTAGGGAATGAAGTATGTATATATTTACATAAGGTATGGCCTTTAAAGCAAAGATAGATGTAGATGAGCAAGTGTGTGGGCATCTCAATACTGGCAAGGTGGCATAGAGATAGGTAAATAGACCCAGGATGATGGAAGCAAGCAGAGCAGAATCAACACTTTCTTCAGCAACACAGAGCGACTGATGTGTCGTAGGTTTTGTGGAAAGGTAGGTTATGGGTACGCAGGACTCAGTCATTCAACATCAACTAATAAAGGCAGACTTTTGGATCAATTTCCTCTCAGTTTAGATGCAACCTGAAACCCTCAGGATCCCACTCTTAATTACTTGATCACTGATGATTGTGTCATTGTGAAACCAGCCCTATTCTAGCTACAGGAGTACTGCACTCGGCTGTTTCCTATCTATGTACCCTGGCTGAATCTAAATAGTCTCTCTCTCTCTCCCTCCTCCTGGTTACTGCTAAACTGGAAACCCATCCCAGCAGGGCAGGTCTTCCCCACATAATGCTGATTCTATTTTTAGTTCTGCTTGTGTTGTCTGAACCTTAGATCTTGCTCATGTGAATAATTTTCCTCATTATCTTGTGTTCGTCTCTCCTCTCTCTCTTTTCTCCTTGTCTCACTGCCTTTCCAATCTGCTACAGCTGCTTGAATACTAAAGTAAATGAGTCAAACCACTTTGTCATCAGGAATATGTTTTCATTCTGTGATAACTCAATAATGTGATCTGTTTCTTGATTTCTTGTTGCCACACCTTGCTTCAGAGAAGAAAAATAGTAAGAGGTAACACCTGGTGAGCACTTCTAGTATTTCATTGTAGTGGTCAGAATCGTAAAGCCTTTCCTCAGCTGAGTAAGGCTGGTAGAATCCAGCCCATAACCAGTTAATTACTGTTTTCCTGACTCCCAATAAGAGCAAAAAGCTTTTCGTTTTATGTGTGGAAACGATTTGGGTGGGTTGGTGGTATCTTGATTTTATTACCACAATGCAAATAGTGAATCATCCAAGCAACCGGAGACATTATGCTTCCAAAGCCAAGTTGGGAACTCCATATGTAACCCGTTTTAGATTTAAAGAAAAAAAAGTTATAAATCTGGACTCACCCCTGGCAGTGTCTTCTGTTCATGCAGTGCACTCTGGGCCTTTAGAGCAGACTCCCTTTCGCAGTACGTTAGGAAGGCACAGCCTGTGAACAAAAGGCAAAACCTCAGTAAGCAGTGCTTCAGAAGGGATCTGTTTAAAATTGAGACAGAGCAAACCACTTTCCCATCATCACCCCATTCTCAGTAAATCAATCATAAAAATCTCTCCTTAGTAGGTCAGTAGTAAAGAGTCAAGAAATGAAGCTATCATCACTTCCTCTGAGCCCTGATGAAAAGTGAGCAACAGTGTGGCTATGAGTGCTTACTGTTGTTTGAATACATGCTTAAGTGTCAGATACAGAAGGCTGTACAGGATTAGGGATCTCAAAGAACCCACATGGTGGCAAGGTGGGGCATGAGATCCCACTCCCGCTCCAGCAGCAGCACTGGGAACAAGCCCCTTACTGCCATATCATGCTGAAGGTCTCATGCCCTTCTTTTGTACCAAGTACTTCAAGTAAAGGGCATACAAGGACTTGGGACTTTCTACTGCAGAGGACTACGCCTATTGTTTAGCCTGACTTGCATCCACAAGTAGTCTCCCTGTTTGCATCACACCAGAAAGCCACCACCCTGCACTTGCTGCTGCAAGGGCTCATTGGCTTCCAACCATGCATACAAAGACAATAGCAGCAAAGCCCAAACAATCAATCCAAAACTTCCATGTTGCTTTACAGATCATTAGAACTTCAGAGATGTTCCAATGGATCATGTCTTTGATTCTTCCAAAAAGTTGTCTTATCAACTACAAAGGTTAAAGCTCTGTCATGATAGGGCAGAGCAAAAACCCTGCTCTGCTTTCTCTCCCCACCTCCATGCTCACCTTCTGGTAAAACTGGTCAATGTTGCAATGTCTTACACCAGTTTTGTGTGTGTCTGATGTGATCGGATTATTCCTTCTTACTGCAGTATACTGAAAACCTGCCAGTTCCTGCAGCAAAAGAAGTGCTTGTTATGCAGAGGACATTTTCTCTGAAATTACTACAGAATGTCTGCAACCTCGCCAGCTCCTTGAAATGGAGGTATCGTATCTTTCAAGGTTCGGGTAGCATGTCCATCAAACTGTGGGCATCTTCCAAAAGCAGGACAAGTGCAGAGAGACTGCCAAAGAAACAAGTGTGTCCCATGGCCTCATCTCGACCGACCCACCTTCTCCCCATGCATATAAAAAAGTATGCAACAGGTGAGTAAACAGTAGACTATGAACTTTTTTCAGCTCTGATCACCACTGTGGTCTTTTTGTCCATACGATGTTCACTGTTTTATCCAAGCTGGTTCCTTAGACAATATTACTGAAGAAATATGCACTTGTTCTTTTTTCTTTACAATGTTTTTAATAGATTAGTACGCACAAGAGATTAGGGAGATTTTTTTTTTTTTCCTATAGACATATATATATTTTCTCAAAAACTGTCTTGTGGAAATCACCCTACTCCTCTCACAAGGAAGCTACAAGCTGGATGAATGTTGCAATTTGGCATGGAAAAAAAAACCCACCTTATTTTTTGCCCTATTTCTTACCCTATATTACTTTTGGAAGGTCTTGTTCTTTTCAGTTTATTCAAGCCAATCACATTTATTATGTCTCAATAATTGTGACTCAGAAGCAGAAGTTGACTATCAAGGAAGGAGACTGAACAACAGCAAAAGTTTGCGTACTCTAATTGGAATTATTTGGATTTGTTCCCCTCTAACTTTAAATAGATGAGTTTTCAGTTAGTCTGCATCTACCAGAGAAGAGGAAGAAACTGTGGCAGAGAGTTTACAGCTAGTAGAAGTAATGGATTGAAAAGGATCCTTAAAAGTCACCCATAGCTTGATAATCAAATGGGAAACTATGCTTAAATTTAATTTCTGTGCTAAATCACAGGCTGAGAGCTCTCTGTTGACTAGACACAATAAGAAAGTGTCCCTTTAGTAGCAGACGTGGAGCAGCTGATACAGTCTAATTAGGCACATCATAGTGCACTGTTATAGAGATAAACTATGCAGTGTAAAGCTCCCATAATGATAGCTATATTTTTCTCCTCATTTGATGGCCATGACGACAGTTCAGGGTAACAATGTCCTGCAAGTCCCACCATATCATGACTCTAATTCAGACTGAGTAGACAGAAGACTACTCCTCTCCGAAGGAGCAAGTTTCCTTCCAAGATCCACATAAAGTCTGTGTGTGGGCAAGTTCTCATCAGGGAGAAACCTCCGTTAAGCCCTCTCCAGACATGTTTGTGAAAGTGGTAGAAGTACCAAACTCCCAGAAACAGTACTTAGTAGAATGCATCCAAACATCACTGATTTCCCAAACAAGGTGTTAGGACAGAAAGGACTTTGACATGGAAAAGAAGAAATCTAGTCTCTCATATGGTCAGACAGAAAAACCCCATGTTTTTCAGGGACAAAAAATGTTTTGTGGACGTATTTCTTTTTCCCTTGCTCCTTAAAAATGTCATGCACATGAATTACACTCTATCCCACTCTTATTGGGAAAAAAGTAATTTATTTAGGAAAAATAATACCTCATTTACTTTAAGTAAATCCTGATTGCTTAGAGACAGTAAGAAGTTGCATTCCAGTAATGGCCAGCTGGAATAAAGTAGAGCTTAATGTTCATAATAGGCCTCAAACCTGAACTTGAAAAGGCCAGTTCATGGGGTTTTTTGTCTTCCCTTTACTTATCACAAGATTGCTCTATAAGGCACAAACCCTGCATCAGCCATCAGCTAGACTAATATTTTTTTAAAAAATTAACGTGGTTTGTGATAAAACAATACATATCTATTATTCCATCCTGCAAGAATTTCCATATTTCAGCCTCTTGTGCATTAGGACAAAAGGCAATAAGATTTCTTGCCCCACTCCCCACCCCCTTAGAAACATCAAAATATTTGATCTGTCCTTTGTATTGTGATGTTTAATGGAATTACAGCCTCTTTCATGTGTTACTTTTCCTAGGCTACCTCTTTCAGTGTGCATCCATATGACCCCTCCAAAGGATTATTCCTTCCTGGAGAATGTTGCTTAAAGAACAGAGCACTGAACACTCAGGTTAACACTACAGGATACAACACCCTAAACAACCAAGTCTTGAAATAATATCATATGAAGCAGCTATACTGGGTTTTACAGAGAAAAGTCAAACTGGTGAAAAAAGTTATTTTTTTCATTTTGATTTCCCAGATGGAAAACAATTTCAGAACAATCAATTTTCCCCACTGAAACTTTTGATTGTGTACAGAACCACTTATTTCACTGGAAAAAAAGAACATTTTGATAGTAAACTCTTAAGTAGATCAACTTAAAAGCTCACTTGCTATCAGCTGTTTGGGCTGGATGTGAATCTGACTTCTGGGTGAAAGGCTTCATATTCCATTACAAATCATTTGCACCATCCAGCCCCCTGGAACAGCCTGTGTTCAACAGTATAATGAATATTTCTGAACACATCTCTTAAGGAAAGATAGAGTGAAGGCTATGCATTATTTCTGTCATCTACTTGTATGTGTGGTAATGACTGAGTGAATACAGTGCTTGAGAATTATATCTGAATTTGAACAAAAAATCTAATTGACTAATTATTGATAATGAAGGACTTGCTCCTAGCTGTTCCTAATTTCAATTCCATTTCTCTCAAACATGCCAAGTTTTCCAGACATATGTCAATCAGCTAAAAGATGCTTTGTTTGGATTGTGTCTTTCCAGCTGTTCATTTGCTACCAGTGGACAGCTCTTTGGGCTACCGCATAAACATCTGGAAACTCCCATCTGGCAATTAACTGTCAACCTATTGAACTGCAATCTTTTGGAAACTTGAGGACATATCAAGTGGTCTCCTGGGAAACAAGGTTGTTAAAGAGAAGAGGGAAACAAAAACAAGAGCTTGAGATGGGGGGAAAAAAAAAAAAAATATATATATATATAAAAGCTCTATTTTAATTTTACCTCCAGGGAATTCAATAACGTAAATAATAATTGCATGGAATACAGATGGATAATGAGCGCACTTATGGCAACTTCAACCCCACAGTAAGTCTCTTGAAGATCTTGCACAAACCGGGGAGGCAAAACAGTCAGGGGACACATTCTGAGCTGAACAGAATAATTCTGGAAACCAAGAATTATTTCACCCCACCAGGACCAGTTCATCCTGGGACAAATGAAAACACAGTCTTGGCACTTGACATCTCAGTGCTTATCAGTTCAGTGAATCGGTTGACTCTCAGCCACTTTAAACCAGATAAGTAGTTCTGACCAGCTAAAAAGTACTGTTCACCTAACTCAAATTTAGCTATTTAAAATTAGTTATCTTAGGTTCTGCCATCAATGACAAGACATTCATGTGACCTTGCATACAGGAGAAGAATAAACCTCTGGAGAGGCCTATCCTCTACACTGGGTGTAAGAACTATGCACAACCATCTCAGGTGCAGGCTTTTAGCTTCAAGGTTGCATGTTCAAAGCATCAGATTCCACCTGCCACCTCTAACCTCCCAGTTACCTCAAGTATATGCATTATCTGTATCTTAATTAATCCTTGTTATATATGGTGGGAGATGAAGATGATGCATACTGGAGATCTATTAATAACTGTAATTAAGGGCTTTTCCCCCTGTCTTGTTTTATTCTGGCAGACAGCCACAGGTATCCTGGCACAGTTTCTCCTCTTTACCCATTGTTTACATCAAAGAACAAGCACTTAGTGACTTATGACCCTTTCTTTGCATGATGTGTTTTGGTGACATCTTATGATTTTATTAGAACTACATAACCTCACACAAAGCATGCCTTTAGCTTTTCCATACGTCTAGATCCAGAGGCATTGTCTAAGAGCTAGACTATAACCATGATCATTTCCAGGTATTTGCTGTCTGTCCGAACAAGGCATTAAAGGTCCAGTCTAAATCTAATGAAAAAATACTTATATACTTCAACAGGCTTTGGGGAAGGGGCCCTTAAATCTTTCTGGGCCTATATTTATTCTTTGGCATTATGAGGGAAAATTAAAAAGTTTGTTAGGTGCTTTAAGACTCTTGGGTGAAAGCCAAGA